GATTAGATTTGTTCAGCATACTAAGGAAAAGTATAAGAAAATAATTATTTACAGCATAGATGACAAATGCATCACGCCTGCATTGAAGACTACGACACATGAACCGGGAGTTATTGAAGCAAAACTACAATCGAATGATGAATATGTTATGACAAACAAAATATCACAATAGAGACGAGCAAACGCAGAAATCATAGCTGTTTACACAATGTCGTCTTGTATTTGCTATACAGGCAGTACAGAGAAAGGTGTATTTCCATACACCTAGTTTTCCATGGAAAATATCACAATAGTTTTCCATGGAAAACTAGACTTGAACTTTGTAGAGTGTGTCTGTTCATTTCTATTCTCATATTCTCATCGCGGTATAATTGTGAGGATCACTTCACTAACGTTGTTCGGCGACTTGAAAAATTTGAACTGTTGAAGCAGAATCGCACTCCAAAGCTGTAGACGAGGTAAATTACCACACGTATAATGTATCCGAAATAAATAATTGATATTGCAGAGTATATAATAGTATTTAATAGTCAACCCTAACTTTTAATGCTAATCTTGAGCTCTGGCTAAGGGCATCGTATGTTGAGAGAACATGGCTACAATTCATTCTGGATTGTTATCCTGCAGAAGATTGATTCTTTGGAAAAGTTTGTTCATAGTGATCTGTAATAAGCACATAGAATCGGGCCTACTTACCTTGATTATCTCAGCCCCTATACATGTTCGACCAAAATCGTTTGGCACATGTCATTTATTTGTAAGCTTGAACATTCAGTATAAGTTTTGGTGGATTCTGTGGGAATGTATTGTCTATCATTACCAGAACTCAAGTTTATCTTTAATCTTAATTTTGTAATTTCAGTAAAGTGTTTGGTACAGGACTGAAGTTAAAAGGTTAGTGCAGCATGCAGATAGACCGTGAATAAATTATTGTCGCAAGAGCATGACTGTGTCGGTCAACCAAAGACCATTATGACCATGGCCAATGGATTCACTTGCAATGCCGAACACTGGCAGTTGGCTCATGCTTCTCCCTTAGTCTCTAGCTACGGAGCCATTAGCCAGCCGCCATTTTACTTACACGCATGAGCTTCCCACTCTGTACCCATTTATAAACCTGGGTAGAGATAAGCAATGTATAAACTAACTTGTTTAAATGAAAATAGGCAACGTACTGTAGAGTTCATTCAAAGTCATATGACACATAATCTCTTGAAATTCAAATGTTTCCAACCACTCTATGGCTACGACACCTCGACACTATTACATGTTCATCAGATGCGTGTGCATGTGGGGCACTCTTTTTAAAGATGCCCGTTGCCTCGGTTAACAGGCCGCATAAATAAATTGTGCTCAGATCCCCATTGGTTTACGTTTTAAAATTGTCTTTGTGCGAGCGCGGACACCATACAGTGCTTTTTGTCTGCGATTCCCAATGATTGAAACTTTCAGTCATATTTCCAGCGAAGCTAAACAGACAGTTTCTCAGATTTTCCGTGATGTTTTAACCAATCTTTACTCGATGAAAGGATAAGGTTAGAATTCTTGGTAGATTTTTGTTTCAATTCGGCATATAAAAGACATATCGATTTCTTTAAATTCGAGGTGTGGCTGTTTAATAGGCTCTCGGGAAGTTCCCGAGAGCCTATAAAACAGCCAGGCCTCTCAAAGCAGTCGATATCTCTATTAAATAGATAAATTGAAATGGGAAAGCTAGTACTTGAGGAAGGGAATGTGGATTAAGATAGGCTACCCTAGCTCACACAGACTACACACTTAATTTTCTACAGATAAGATATAGCCTATACCCTTAAAATCCGTATTTTATCCAATGGCATGCACCGAGTTAAACGTGTGTCCCCTCATTGTGTGGACACATAGTATGTCGTTACAGCACATGCAATCCAGCCTTTTTAATGAGTATATAATTTTGTATGAAAGCAGAAAAATCAGATAAACAGAATGGCGAAAGGGTGAAATAAATCGGACCAATAATAAGAGAGTTAACAATATTAAAACAAATCTATGGGAATCTCAAATTTGCAATTTCGTCAGTGGGTAGTGACGTAGTCATGGGCAACTCTCCCGTTTTTCGTGTACAAACATATCCCTAATTTCTGTTTTGCTCGTAAGTGCCATCTCCTTTGGGGCACTACTAAAAAAATATTATGACTGGCATGTTATTACAGGTCGTCGAAATAATAAGAGAGTTAAAAATATCAAAATAAATCTATGGGAATCTCAAATTGGCAATTTGGTCATGGACAACTCCATCTCCCGTTTGTCTTGTACAAACATATTCCAAATTTCTGTTTTTATTGTAAGTGCCTTCTCCTTTGGGGCACTACTCAAAAGATATGGCTATAGCATTTTATTACAGGTCGTTTAAAAAAGAAAAGACCCCCTCCCCCGCCCCCGCCCCCTTGAGTTATGAATTTTGAAAATTCACATTCAAGTCATTTTACATGTTGAAACAAATTGGAAAGCGGCACAACGTCAC